AATCATTCTTGACCCAATATAATTTTAGTTATGTCCCAAAACTCTAAAATTTCACTGCATATTTAGGGGACTAAAATGAAATTAAAGAGATAATTCAAAAGATCTTATTGTTTCTTGTGAAGCTAGGTGCATGAATAACTTATATAAGGAATAAAATGAATAACTCAAGTATGAAAAATGAATAACTGGCTATTAAAACAAAGTATTTTTTGTATAATTGTATTATTATCGTAATTATGTATTTTGTGTAGAATATTCTTTAAGGGCTACATGTCATGTTTGTATTCATTCTTCTGTAATTGTTTCTAGCATAAATATAACAGTAACTATGTAGCCAAAGCATCATTAGCTCTTGGCATTATTCTCATATTTCTTCCATTTCTCTATCTTGGTATCATAGCCAATATAACCTCCTTTGCTTGTGCTCTTGTCTCCTCCACCACTTGATTGTCTTCCATTATTATTCAAACTGCTCTGACACATTCTTTGTTTAGCTCCTCCTACTCAACTGCCTTGATCAAGTTAGATCATGGTAATTTCTTACTTTGGGAGTCTGTCGTCCTACCTCTTATTGAGGGCAACAAATTAGAGCTTTATATCAATGGGTCAGATCAGGTTCTTCCTTGTCTTGTTGCTAATGATGTAGCATCAAAAGCTAATCCAGAGTTTGAGGAATGGTATACTGGTGACTGATTGCTTGTTGGTTGGCTTTATAACACGATGATGGCTATATTAGCTCTTAGCTCCTCTACTATCAAATTGACTTGGAGCTTTGAGAGGGTGTTTGTTCTCTTTGAGGTGCTTCTACCAAAGCTCATGTTATGATCTACAAGTCAAATCTGCATCATACTCATAAAAATAGACTAAAAATAGAGGAATATCTTTCTAAAGTGAAGATAATTGCCGACCAACTTGCTCTTGTCAGTTCACCAATGTCGAATGAAGATCTTATTATTTATACTCTCAATGGACTTAATGCAAATTACAATGCTATAGTTGTGAAGCTTATCGATGCTCTAAATTTAACCTTGATTGATGCCCAGGTTGCTCTCTTAGCTTATGAAAGTCGATTAGACCAACTGAACCAATTCTCAACTTTGTCAATTTAGCCGACTGTTAATTTTGCTCAATGGGACAATAATCTTTCCAGTCATGGAGGTATTTGGTGTAGTCCTCTTTCTCATAATCGAAATTGGGGAAGTGGTAGACCTTATTGCTATTTGTGTTATAAGCATGATCATAAGGTTGCTAACTGTTATTACAAGTTTAATTGAAGTTTTCAGCCTCCTATTGTTGGTGGAAATCGTTCTAGTGATTCTTATGTTCCTCAAGCTTATTATGCTACATCTACTACAGTTAATGACTTAGTGTGGTACATTGATAGTAGTGCCAACTATCATATGGCTCCAAACCCCAATCAACTTTACCAAATTAGCTAGTTGGTAAGACTAATTTGTTGACTTGTACTGGTGCCAAAATGCCTATACAAGGTTTTAGTTATACTATCCTTTCTCAGTATAATATTTAATTGAATGATGTGCTACTTGTTCCCTCTACAACTAAGAATTTATTAAGTCTGTCATGCTTACTTAGTGATAATGCCATTACTATTGAGTTTTCTAAGGCTAATAGTTGTGTTGTGAAGGATCAAATAACAAGTAAGGTACTATTACAAGGGCATCCTTATCAGGGAGTCTATCCCATGGCTAAACATGATCCTAAAAGTATTGAGAATACTGACCTTTGTCTAGAATCAAATTTTTAAAGTTATAAAGATTAGCATTACAAACTTGGTCATCTAGTGATAAGATTTTGAAATAAATTTTAAATAAATGTAATGCTCCTGTGAATGTCAATGAGAATTTTATTTGTAAAGCATGTCAGTATGGAAAATCAAAGTTGTTACCATTTCCTATTTCTATTTCACAAGCATCATTGCCACTTGAATTAATTTATACAAATCTTTAGGGTCCATCTCCACTTTAATCAATTCATGGTCACTATTATTATATACATTTTATAGATGATTATACTAGATTTACATGGTTTTGTCCTCTAAAAACTAAAGGATTGGTTGTTAATGCTTTTGATCTTTTAGACCTTTGGTTAAAAATCAATTTGGCACCAAGATTAAAAATATACAATGTGATGGTGGGTATAAGTATAAACCATTTACTCTGATTGCTCAGAGTTATGGAATTAACATACGAATTACATGTCCTTGTACATCTCCTCAGAGTGGTCGAGCAGAGCATAAATATAGGCATATTATCGAAATGGGTTTGACTCATCTTGCTAAAGCACGTATGCCTCTTACTTATTAGGTTGATGCATTTTAGAATACTGTGTTTTTAATTAATAGACTTCCCACTCTAGTTTTGAATGGTGTCATGCCCCCATTTCATCTCTTTAAAACAGAGCTAGATTATAAAGTGTTACAACCATTTGGATGTGCCTACAATCTATGTCTCAAGCTATATAATGAACATGAACTACAATTTCACAATTAAAAATGTGTTTTCTTAGGTTATGTATCTCAACAAAAGGGGTTTAAATGTCTAAGTTCCACTGGCAGAATATATGTATCTCATCATGTGATTTTTAGTCATCAATATTACCTTTTGCTATAAGTTTTCTTAACAAGCGATCTCCCTTAATAGATAATGATTCAATTCTCTAATAATTGCTGCACCATCATTAGAGGTTTTAGTTGTGAATTCTCCTATGAGTTCACCATCAACTATGTTGTCTCTATTCTTATGGTCATCATCTGACTATTATCTCCATCTAGATCTGTTAATGAAGAATTCGATCCAATGCAATCACCATGTCTGATAAAAAATGAAGGTTCTCATAATATAGCCTAAGAACAGTCAAGCCTAAGTGATGCAATAGTAATAACAGAAGCCTAAAATACATATCCTATAATTACTGAATCTAAGAGTAGAATATTCAAACTTAAATACGCATTTGTTGGTCTGCTTGTTGCTGACGACTTAAAATCTCTTGAGCAAGTCGCTAAACCAATCACAAGTCATGAAGCACTTTAGTCACCTCAATGGCATCAAGCGATGGCAGAGGAGTCTTATGTGCTACAATGGAATCATACTTCGAAGTTAGTTTTGTTCATTGGCAGTCAAAAGCTAGTTGATTGCAAATGGGTTTTCAAAACCAAGTTTAACACAGATGGATCACTTCAGAGAAGGAAGGCTTAGCTTGTTGCCAAAGGTTTTTAGTAAGCCCCTGGTGTAGATTATAATGAAATGTTCAATCTTGCTGTCAAAGATACAACTATTCAGATAGTGCTCATAATAGATGTCACCTTCAATTGGGAAATTCACCAGTTAGACATAAACAATGTGTTTCTCAAAGAGGTACCTATAAGAAGATGTTTACATACACCAACCAGAAGGGTTCATTGATCCTAAATGGCCAACACACATATGTAAGTTAATCAAAGCTCTCTGTGGCTTGAAACAGGCTCTTAGTGCTTAGTCTGATTAGTTGAGACTTACTTTACTAGAGTGGGGATTTCAAAATTCTAAAAGTGATATTTCTCTATTTTTCCTTAGAATACAAAGACTGAAAGTTTTTGTATTGCTCTATGTGGATGATATTTTGGTGACTGGAAACAATTCCACTTATATAAAGAATTTTATTCAAAAATTAAATTATCAATTTTCCTTGAAGGATCTTGGACCTCTTCACTATTTTTTGAATGTTAAAGTATGTAGAGATAATTCTGGTTTATTTTTAAATTAGAGTAAATATACACTAGACCTGTTAAAGAAGTTTAATATGCTTGATTGTGCTCCCATGTGCACTTCAATGGTTACTAGTCATCAATTGTCCTTTTTTGATAGGGAACTTTTTTTCTAATCCCTTTATTTATAGGAAAGCTATAGGCGCTCTCCAATACCTTACCATTGCTCATCTGGACATAGCTTATTTAGTAAATAAGCTAAGTCAATTTATGTCACAACCAAAAAGTGTTCATTTTCAGGCAGTGAAGAGGATTCTTAGGTATTTGAAAGGTACTTATTATTTTAGTTTACATTTGAAACCAGTAGCTTCTATTAGATAAATAGCCTTCATTGATGTGGATTGGGCAACTAATAATGATGACCAAAAATCTATGGCTAGTTTTTATGTATATGTTGGTGGTAAACTTATCTTATAGGCTTCTCATTAACACAAAGTGGTTTTTTGTGTTTGAGCTTGGTATGTCACCTCATTATCTACTTGTGATATGGTGTGATAATCTTAGTGCAAGTGCATTAGTAGCCAATCCAGTACAACATGCCAAAAGCAAGCATATAGAGATAGACGTATGTTTTGTGTGTGATCAAAGTCATTGCTGGAAAACTTATAGTTAAGTATGTTCCATCATCAAGTCAAATAGCGGATTAATTGACAAAGGCCTTGACTCAACCTCAATTCTCTGCATTGAGAAGCAAACTTGTTGTCTATTACTTCCTCTTGTTTGAGGGAAATGTTTGAACATAGTATTATTTGTATAATTGTATTATTATTGTAATTATGTACTTTGTGTAGAATTTTCTTTAAGGGCTACTTGTCTTGCTTGTATTCATTTTGTTGTAATTGTTTCTAGCATAAATACAATAGTGACTGTGCAGCTAAAAAATCATTGGCTCTTGGCATTATTCACAGATTTCTTTCTTTCTTTCTTTCTAGCATAGGTGAAATTTGCAATTCTCATTCCACTTACATTAGTTGTTCATTTTTCATGCATCAGTTATTCATACATAACTTCACCAGGGACAATAAGATCATTTGAGTCATCTTTTTAATTTCATTTCAATCCCCCAAATGTGCAATAAAATTTCAAAATTTTTGGGAGATTAACTAAAATTACGTTGTGTGAAGGGGACCAACTGAAATTTTCCCATAAATTTAACTCAGACAGTGATCTTTTTTTTTGTTTTTTAGTTACCGTTGAGAAATAAAGCTCATAACATACAAGATATTGCAACAAGATCTACTAGACACACTCATTTGCCAATCTATTAACACACAGAAAATATGTGGCTAAAATAAATATGACAGCAAATAATCGTTTTGACATTATTGTATTTAATGGGTGAATAGCATAACAAGATCATCGAAGTATTTATCAAATTTCTTCATAAACTTCCCAACACAAGAAGTAGGATACATATGATGTCCTGACTACATATAAGAGAAAAGGAATGTAACTAATTAACAATATTATATTAATTTATTTAAAGGAAAGGGAAGATTAACCCTCAAACTTTTATTCTTTTAAACTGGAATGAAGATGTTCTGCCTCCTCATGCTAATGATAAGACTATGCTTGTAATATATATGAGGTAAAACTCATTCAATTTCCTGCAACAATAAAAAAGAAAGGGTCACAATAAAAATAAGATTGCCTGAAATTCTCACTAAAAAAATAGTCTGGTTCAAATAATTGATTTGGAAACTTCTTTTAAGAAAAGATCCTAAATTCAAATCCTGTTTATGACTCACCAAAAAAAAATCTTGAGGCATTTGTATGATACAAATATTAAATTAAATATAATTAGAAAATTATTCTTTTAAAAGAATATTGTGGTCAACTTGTCTCTTAAAATCAAGCAATTAAAATTTAAAATATTAATAACAATAATTTTTATAATATAAATAATGTATAAAATACAAGGTATCAAAAACCAAGCTTGTTATTGAACCGGATTTAGATGTTGGTTTAAGGATTAATAATTTGACTAAGGTTGAACCTAAGTTAAACCAATAGCTAGTAATTAAATTAATATAAATTTAAGAATAAATTGATTATCTCAACAAAACTAAAATTTTAAATTATCATTAAAATTAATTTTTAGACAATAATGAGATTATGATAATCAATAATAATAATAATAAAAGTTAAAATGTAAAAAATATTTTTTTAAAAATAACATGATAAATCAAATTTTACAATTTTTCAGGTAAAAATTTATCCTTTAAAAGTTTACACAGTTCCACCCACATGATATTGATATTATATCTATGCCCTAACATTTCAATGAAACCTATACTTTATTTGCGTTAGGGCCAAAAACTTTTCCCTTGCTAAAAAAACGTCTGCCTTGACTAATAGGTTCAATATACACCAACTTCTATGTCTTCTATCTATTTAGACTCCTTAATTACCGTGCCATTTACTCATATTTGACCAGACCTTCACTAATTGTCTGCATTTTTTTCTTCAGTGCGGTGGACCGATTAACCCATCTGACTTAGCCGGATTGCACCGAGTTAGCCACCGGTTAACCGAGCTGCAGGCTAGTCTTCTCCGTTTTTCATAATATATATATATATATATATATATATTTAATTGAAATAAAATATTTTAAGTAAATAAATTTAAAAAATATATATACAAAATTAATAAAAGGAAAACAAAACAAAACAAACAAATTTACAATTACCTTTGCATTGGGGAGGGGTGGTGGCACCGCACTTAGCAGGCAAAGCGATAGCCTTCTTGGGGTCAATTCCAAGTGCAGGAAGCACCGACTTGTACTTGCAGAGACATGCCACATCAGCATGGCGACCAACTGCACAACACGCCTCCGTCGGCGGCGGGGGGTGTGGCCCGGTGACAGCCGGGCGACACAAGCTCAGTTTGGTGGTGTCTGTGTTGCATAGCACAACTCCTTCAACTCCTCTACCCAGTAAGCCTATTATCACCAATATGTATGCTGCCACGATGCCATGCACTAAGGATCTGAGTTTGATTGCCATGTTGTTGCTCTCTTCTGAAAGATGGGTTGTCTTGATTTAGGTACTATGCTTGAAGTGCGAGTTCGGGCTATTTATTTATATGTGAAAATGGTCAAGGATGGACCCACCAATAATATGCACGTATATATATAATATACTCTCTCTGTTTAAAAATATAAGATATTTTTTAAGCAGTTAGATGTTTAAAAAATATAAGGTATTTTTAGTCTTTTATAGTATAATCATTTCCTTTTTTCTCAAAAATACCCTTATTAATAATGACTTTATATTTATTGTAAGGTATTTAATATGAGTAAATATAAAAAATAGAGTTAATTTGAAAGTATGTAGCTACTTTATTGAAAGGTAAGATTTGGTTAAAAATATCTTATATTTTTTAAGAGGGTATATAATTAAAAATGCAACGTAATATTATTTTCTCATGTAGTTGAAGAGAATATATATGTTAAGAAGTTGATATATTATTTTTTTATGAGAAGTTGATATATTATTGCTTGGTAATTTTTTATTATTGGAATTAAAATTAGGATAATACTCCCTCCGTTTAAAAATATAAAACATTTTTAAAGTGTTAGAAGTTAAAAAATATAAGACATTTTTAGTTTTTCGAGATATTATCATTGTCTTTTTTTTAAAAGTGTCCCTATTGATAGTAACTTTATATTTATTATTTTTAATAGAAGCAAATATGAAAAAGATAGAGTTAGTTTAAAATATATAACTACTTTATTAAAAGTGAGATTCAGTTAAAAATGTCTTATATTTTTAAACAGAGAAAGTATTTAAATACTTAGCTTTATATGCACTTAATACACTTTTATTCAATCAAATGAAAACAAGTATATTTTAATGTGTTAAATATATTAATTATTAAAAAAATTATTATAAAATAAATAATATATAATTAACATGTCTTGATATAATTGAAAATAAAAACCTTAAATGTGTGCCTATATATATAATATGGCTAATATATAAGAAATAATATTACAAATATGAAAATGATTATAAGAATATTTACAATTACAATACAGTTCCAAATAATGAAATTAATTATATTTTTATATTTATAAATGAAATTTTAATATTTACATTCGTAACTTATGATTAATTAATTTTTTAATTATGATTTGCATACAATTCTCTTAAAAACATATCATATTAAAAGAATTAAAAAAAATTTGGGGACAAAGGCCACGCTTGACTGACTCTTCCTTCTCATCACATCAACGGTCTTCTCCACACTTGTTCGTTCAAAGGACATGACTTTTTTGCCCCCTTTCGATAAACCACGGACATGTCACATGACTGCCTTTTTGAATTTTAATTAACTGGACTAGCCATTTTCACCGGTCCTAATTTCATTATTGGCTTTGAACATGACTTGACCCGTCAATCACGCCCAATGAGTGTAACCGTGAAGAACACGCTGAGCTAATGGGCCTCATCTCAATAATTCTCAAGCAGTAGTCAGTACAATATTGGCTGAGATGACTAATGAAAGAATAATAATAAAATTTAAAAAAAAATGAATTAATGAGAGATAAGTTCATAATAAAATTTCATGAAAGAAATATAAATATCAATTTAAAGAGTTATAAGTTAAAAATATGAATTATAAATTAATTATTATATTTAGAATTTAAATGTTGTATTTGCAATTGAAATTCTTAATTTTACTTGTTTGAATCAATATTTATAATAAATTTTTTAAAAAATTTGTTGAGAATTTAACTATCATTAATTTCTTTTATTGGGACTTAATTGTCATTGTCCCATGATTAATTTTCCAGCCCCACCATCATCCATTTTTTGTTAAAAGAAAATTTACTCCTAACTTAATCCTTTCTCATAATGCCCTATTAAGTAATATTAGATGGACGATACTTGTATCTCCATAGAAATTAAGTTCTCAAGTTCTAATAAGTAAATATGGATGAAGGGAGCTGTTGGATCCCCAATGCATTGTTAAACGTATTGATTCTATTGTATTGAAGAAATTGGGTGAGCTTTAGTTGTATATACTATGGCACGCTGGATGGGAGGTAAATAAAGGGAGCAAAGTGAACTTCTGGGTTGATAGGTGGGTGGCTAATGGTACATTTTTAGTTGACCAATGCTTGGTAGTTCCTGCACCTTCTGAATTATGGAAGCGTGTAAGGGATTATGTCAATGAGAGGGGTGGTTGGAGATTAGAGGAGTTCAAGGCTTGGTTACCTAAGGATATAGTGGGTCAGATTCAAGCTACACTGCCTCCTTGTGCGTCTGCAGGGGAAGACAGAATTTGTTGGTTAGGTGATGGTTCTGATGATTTTAGTGTTGCTACAATGTACAAGCATTTAAATGGTTTTGATCAATAAGAGGGAAACAGCTTTTGGGTGAAAATTTAGTCTTGGAAGGGTCCATAATGTATCCAAACGTTCTTATGGTTGGCTGCTTCAAATAGATTATTAACATCTATTTAAAGGTTTAACCGTATTGTTGGGTCATCTATTTGTTGCAGGTGTGGTTTGGTTGAGGAGTTGTTCTTATGCGAGTATTGTGTGGGAGCAGCTGATATGAGGTATGCATTTTTTTTATTTTTTTGTTTAAATTTGTATGAATGGTTTCAAAAGAATTTAGGTGGTAGTTTAAAGGAGGATGCATGTAATTGGCATTTGATATTTAGGGTGGCTGTGTGGTTCATGTAGTCTTGGAAGAATAATATAATGTTTGATCCTAACTTTGATTCCTCTAAGATTTTTGCCATGAGTGTTTTGCAATATGTTGAGGGGATTAAAAAAGTTTATGCTGTGGATGACAATATTTGTCTCAAGCATTAGGACAATATCCGATGGTGGCCCGCTTAAAGAGGGTTGGTTAAAGCTCAATATTGATGGTGCTGCTAAGGGGTGGCTTGGGGATGCTGGTTGTATAGGAGTCATATAGGATTTTACTGGTAATTGGAAAGAGGGTTTTGTTAATAGAGTGGGTAGGTGTACAGCTTTGGAGGCAGAGTTATGGGGCTTATGGTTTGGGTTCCTCTTGTTAAAAAGTTTGGGTCTAAGGAAGGTTATCATTGAATCTGACTCTACTGTACTTGTACACATGTTGAAACAAATGTTGTCATGTTTCTGTGTGAAGAATCAATTCCTTCAACAAATCCAAACTATGCTTGATGCGAGCTAGCATATCCGTGTGGCACATACTTATCAAGAAGGGAATTTTAGTGCGAATTGGTTGGTTAATTGGAGCTTATCACAGAAATGTGGACTATAGGTTTTGAGTAAGCCTCTTGAAGGCTTAACACTACTAGAAAAATGCAAATTCGCAAGGAAATTTAGCGAGGGATTATCTATTCCTTTCTAAAATACCAAATTAGCGAGGAAATTAGTGAGGGATATTAATTTCGTAGTTTGATTTAAAATTAGCAAGAAAATTAGTGAGGGACTGTCAATCCCTCTCTAAAATAAGAGAATTAGCGAGGAAAATAGCAAGGGATTGCCAATCCCTCTCTAAAATAAGATAATTAGCGAGGGATTTAGCAAGGGATTCTATTCCTAACTAATTACTAAAAAAAAAAATAACTCTTGACAATGACTTTTAATTATACATTTAATTATTTTCATTTAAAAATAATAATTAAATTTAAAAATTAACTAAAATATTCATAATAAAATTATTTAATGTTTTCTTTATTTTAAGTTAATTTTCATTAATAAAATAATATTTTATTAAAAATATAATATAGCAAATAATTTAAATAAAATATAAATATTTTTAACATATTAATAATTAAAAATAAAATTTAATATGTATATGTGTATATTTTTATAATATATTATTTGATATATTTATGTAGTTAAATAATATATATATACATATTTAATTTCTCATATAATGATTGCAAGTGCCTTTCAGTTCAACTGGCAAAAAAGGAGAGCATAAAACTTGAAAGGGATGAGATCAAGGGTTCAAACCTTGGCTTTGGCATAAACATGATGAATATATGATATGGTAAGGAGCAAGTGACATGGCGTAAGGTGGACAATGACGTGTCATGAATTGTCGCACATGTGGTGGGTGATAGGGCGTGAGATGGTAGGTGACATGATAATTGACAAAGCATGAGGTTGTTGGGATTAGGGGTCTCTCTCTTTTTTTTCCTCCCTTTCCCTCCACTTTCCCCATCCCCACCATTCAAATTTTTTTATTAAACAATTTTTTTAAATGAAAAAATTAATGAATAGTGGGAATGGGGGAAGTAGAGGGAAATGGAGGAAAAGGAAGTGGAGAGACCCCACTTCTGAGATTGTTGATGACATGTCACTAGTTGACATCACACATGGCGGGTGACGTGGCATAGTTATTTTTAAATATAAGCATATTTAGTGAGGGATTAGCAAGGGACTAATTCCTCACTAAAGTTATCAAATTTTGAATATTATGAGAGAGGGATTAGTGAGAGATTTAATCCATAGCTAATTTTAGCGAAGGATTGAATTTCTCGCTAAATCCCTCACTAATTAGCGAAGAAAATACAATTCCTCGCTAAATTTAGCGAGCCCTTTTTTAGCTACGAATTTAGCGAGGAACAAAATTTCTAATTAAAATACAATTTAATTATGAAAAATGAAATTTAGCGAGGCATCCCTCGCTAAATTTCATTTTTCTAATAGTGTAATTAATGTATTGTATAGGAATATATTAGACTTGATTTTTTATGGTTAGTTTTAGTTTAATTTTGTTTGAGTTTCGCCTTTCTATATACCCCAAGAAAAAATACAAAAGAAAATACACGTGTCCATGCACGCTCACAAACATGCCAACACTAAATTTTAACACAAGTCCTCTTCCAAGCAAGGCGGAGCCCGCCACCATCTACATCTGCATAAAGTCAAGGTCATTAAAAAAAGAGTCAAGAAAAAAGCTTGTAGTTTCTATTTTTAAAAAAATTGTTTATTGTTAAAAACAAAATAAAAATTTAAAAACTTGTTTGATGACTTCTTTGAATTTATTTTTTATTTTAAAAATAAAAATTTTTTATC